GAAAGGAACCATCATAGAGGCCCCAATCTTGGATATCCCAGCAGGTCTGGTATCCAAGCACTGTAAAATGTTACCAAGTGTATATTGGAAGGGATTCTGTTGCATGGGAATTCTCAAACCAGGTCAAGCACAAGTGGGAATTATTGGCTGAGACACCTAAAAAAAAATCTAGGGATTGGTCAGACTGATCAAGATGTTGATGTCACAAACATGTCTCTTGATTTTGGGGTTCTCCTTCATAGTGGCAAGATGACTCCAGAAACTGTAGGCTTTTGTGGAGTACACATGGGGAGATGACTTGACCTTTAGTTCTTACCATCTTTCAGAACCTCTTGTTCCTTTGGCTGCAAAAGGGGAGAAAAAAAGAAATTCAACTTCATGGGTTTAGAGTGTTATTTGTACCATGTTTGATTTAGGATTTAGCAGTGTAAACCTCCAAAAAACTGTTTACATACTTGTTTCCAATCCAGCGGGCTCAAGACTTACACCAGTGCCTTTGGTGTGTTGGTACAACTCACTAAATAATCAGTTTTCTTTGTGTGTTTGAACCTGTCAGAAGGTTGCAAGCTTTGTAGTGTGCCTTTGTATCCACTAAATGAAACTTTTTTGTTTTCCTGCTTCACTCAGTCACTTTTAGAACTCATGCCTTATATTATAAAACAGACTGCCCCATAGAAAAGACAGTTTATCATTCAGAATGAGTGAGATTTGTCTTTACAGACATTTATGACCAAAGGAATGTAATCAAAAGAAAGGAGGTGATTAGTCATTATTCCATTACTGCTCACTTATTTTGTCTCCTGGCAATGGCTGTGGAGTTTAATGCCCCATCTCTGTGTGGCCGGCTTGCATGTGTTGAACTTTCCCACAGGAAACAGCAAGTCCAGCTGGTTGTTGCCCAGTATGTAGCATCTTCTCTCCAGATATGCAGTTTGGCTATTGATTCCCCCTGAAGTGGGTTTGGGGTGCCCTTCCCTCAGAGATGATGTTAGCTTAGAATTCCAATCAGCCTCAGAGTTTGAGCATTAGAAAATGTGAGAATGGGCAAGTTAGTTTACTTGGCAGCTACCTGAGCTTGGAGTTTTTCTGTGCCCTAAGTCTGATTTGGGGTGTATATCCTCTAAAATGGCCAATTAACTCCCCCAACATATAACTTGCTCATGCCACCCCCTGATTCAGAACCTTCCATCATAGTATCAAGGGATAAGAGACTTTGGGGTTAGGAAGAACCTTAGAGATGTGTTTCAACCCTCTCATAAGGGCTGGGCCCCCCACTCTGATGTCTTGGGACTTTCACACCCCAATCTTTCCTTCACTTTCCCCTGTTTATTTTTGGAAAATTGGTAATTTAGTACTGGCTGCTGGCTTGTACCAAACTTCAAGATGCCACAGGGGAGATAGGGAAGTTGAGCCATCAAAGAACCAAGAGCTGTAGGTAATTAATCAAGGGTGGCTGCCCAAGAATAACCACAGGGTCTGGGGTGGAAGTACTTGGATAAGAGCTAGGGCTGGGAGGGGGGATTGGGAGTGGCGATCCTAGATTGCAGCATTGGAAGTCTTCTGTTGTTGGAGGCTGCCCTCTTTTATCCCCCTCTTATCTGGAGGAACACAAGCTTTCACTCTATCCTCAGGAATACATTACCAGCCAAGGGAATGGACAATGACCATATACACAGCAGGGAGCCTGTACAGTGGCCCTGCCCAACCTCAGAGCACAATCTCCAATCCCAACGTCCCCACAACTGAACGATACCGTGAAGGTCTTGCCCAACTAGAGGGCCTGGGCAGCAACATCACCCAACTTTGAGGCCTGGCTTGTGGTCCTACCTGACTGCAAAGCATAGCCCTGTCTAGACTGTGGCCATGACTAAACACGGAGTCTAGCCAGTGGAACCATTCATTTGGAGAACACAGCCTGAGATTCCACCAGACCCAGAGTGATTGCAGAGTCCAGCCCATAGTCCTGCCCATTGTGGAGTCCAACCATTAGCATTATTTTACCAGGGAATACAGCCTGTGACCTAGCCAAACCAGAGGTGATTACAGAGCCAAGCTAGTGGCTCCAGCAAAATGGAAACATGTCATACCCAAACTTCTGGGATATAGCATAAACAGTTCTAAGAGGAAAGTTTAGTGTTATAAATGCATACATTAAGAAAAAAGATCTCAAATTAACAGCCTAACTTTACATGTCAAGGAACTAGAAAAAGAAGAACAAACTGAGCCCAAAGTTACCAGGAAAGAAATAATAAAGACTAGAGCAGAAACAAATGAAACAGAACAGGAAAACAATAGAAATGAGAACCAAAAATAAGAATTGGTTCTTTGAAAAGATAAGCAAAATTGACAAACCATTAGCTAGGCTCATAATGAAAACCAGGGGACTCAAATCAATGAAATTATAAATGAAAGAGGAGACATCACAACTAATACCACAGAAATACAAAAAATCATGACATTACTGTGAACAATTATGCCAACACCTTGCATAATTTCCTAGGAACAAATAACCTACCAAGAATGAATTAGGAAGGAAGAGAAAGCCTGAACAGACCAACACTGAGGAAGGATATCGAATCAGTAAACAAAAACAGAAATGCCCAGGACCAGGTGGCTTCACTAGTGACTCCTACAAAACATTCAGAGAACGATTAACACCAGATCCTCAAACTCTTCTAAAAAATTAAAGACGAGGGAACACTTCCAAACTCATCTACAAGGTTGGCATTACCCTGATACCAAAGCCAGATAAGGACACTACAAGAAAAGAAAACTACAGGCCAATATGTCTGAAGAATATATATGCAAAATTCTAAACAAAACACTGCAAACCAAATTCAACAGCACATTCTATGGATGCCAAAACCATTCAAAATCTGGAGTATATAAAGATCTCTTACAACACAACAATAAAAAGTCAAATAACCCAGTGAAAAATGGGCAAAGTGTTTGAATAGATATTTCTCCAAAGAAGATATACAAATGACCAATAAATACATGAAAAGATGTTCAACATCATTCATCGTTAGGAAAATGCAAATCAAAACCACAGTAAGATACCCATTTATACCCACTAGAAAGGCTATAATAAAAAAAGACAGTAACAAGTGTTGGTGAGGATATGGACAAGTTGCAACCTTTATACATTGCTGGTGGGAATATAAAATGTCCAGCCTCTTTGGTAGTTTCTCAAAATTTTAAACATAAAGTTACCATAAGACCAAAAATTCCACTCTTAGGTATCTACTCAAGGGAAATGAAAACACATACTAACAAAAAAACAAGTCCATGAATGTTCATAGCAACATTATTCATAATAGTCAAAACATACAAACTAAATTTCTATTAACTGACGAATTTTTAAAACATTGTACAATAGGATGTTACTCAGCAATAAAAAGGATTGAAATACTGATATGTATCACAACATCGATAAATGTAAAAAACATTACGTGAAATGAAAGATTCCAAACACATAAGGCCACATAGTATATGATTTCATTTATATTAATGTCTAGGATAGGCAAACCCATACAGAAAAAGGTAGATCAGTGGTTGACAAAGGAAGGATAAGTTACTGCTAATTGGTATGAGGTTTGCTTTGGGGGTCATGAAAATGTTCTGGAATTAGTGATAATGGACACAAAGCCTGTAATTAAACACACTGAAGGATACACTTTAAAAGGGTAAAATTTACAGTATGCGAATTATATCTCAATAATAAAATTAATGAATAAGTAAAATACATGGTATATTAGAATACGATGAGTATGGATTTGAAAGTCATTGTTGACATGATTCAGGCACTAACTCCTGGGGAGCCTAGTTAGTGGATTCGCCTTAGCAAATTAAGGATTTAGTCTAAACGATCTATAGCATCTCTTCAAAATCTAGCTTCCGATGGTTCTCTCAGTCTTTCCAGATGATCAGCAACTTCAAAAGAACTGCTGGAAAAGTTAACTCCACAGTAAAAACCAGTCCTTATACCTTTGACATCTCACTTAAGGCAGCTATATTTTTGAGTCATTTCATCTATTTCCATTTTTTTAAAGAACAACTCTGATTTGGTGGAAATTCTAAAGGATTGTAATTTCCCATGGAGATTTCTGATGATCTGTAAGCTGTGTGGAGAGAATGCTGAAATTAAAGTAATTTGTAAAACTGATTATAATCATAAATGAGAGAATAGTTTTCACTAGGGTTTAATGAAGGAAAAACATGGAAAGCTGTTGGCGTTTTTGAGCCAAGTTACGAACATATACAATAGTCACCGCTGGCATGAAAATAGATGGTAAAGAGTAGTGAGTGCGTACATTTTGTGAGGACACAGATTTTGCATAAGGCTTATTGCGCAGGGGTTAAGAGCTTGGGCTCTGCCAACACCTTGTCAGGCTTTGGATCCTGGCTCCACCACTTACCAGGCTACTGCACGCGCCTATTTCCTTATCTGACACAGAGCCATAGTAATTACACCTCCCTGGAAGGCTGTTTTGAGGATTAAATGAGAGGATAGTTGTAAAACAGTGAGAAAAGTGTCTGAGCCATGGTAAGGGCTCAGCAAACATTAGCATTATCTGTTTTCAACAAATACTCCAAATGCTTGATGAATGTTTTTCTTTTCTCTTTTTTTTAAGTGAATTTATTGGAGTGACATTGGTTAATAAAATTATATAGGTTTCATTTCTATAATACATCATCTGTATATTGTATTGCATGCTCACCACCCCAAGTCGAGTCTCCTCCCATCACCATTTATACCTTCTAAACCTTCTTCTACCTCCCCTACCCTTCTTTCCCTCTGATAATCACCTTACTGTTGTCTGTGTCTGAGTTTTTATATTTTTTTGGCATCGCTTGACAAATACTTGTTTTGTGTACAGTGTATTGTGCTATAATCCATCTTTCCTAGTAGTTACTTCTTGTTCTACAATGAGATTTTTCATATTGTGAATAACTTAATTTTTTTTTACAGAATAAAAGCAAGAGACCCTCACTAACAAAATGAAGAACTTGCTAATTATATTTTTCTTAATCCTTTGGACTGAAACATTGACAGATCAGAGCCCAGGTACCCATATATTTTATACTTATTATTTGGAAAAGTAAACATTTTTATGTCTAAACAAACCTTTACTTTAGTAAATGGCAAGAAACAAGGAACTTATTTATTTACTAAATAATCAAAGTAGGCAGCACTTAGCTGAAGCTGGAGGTAGACAATATCAAGCTAACTTAATCTCTCAAAGGTGATAGAAAGCCATGGGCAAAAGTCATGAATTATGCTACACCTGGCTAGAGAAACTTTAATTATTCATTGATTTGCTTAAGTCCCAATGTTCCATGTCTCTATGAATAGAGTCAACCCATTTGTTTTGTAGGTTAGTTTGCATCTTGGACTTAATAAATTAAAGAAAAGGTAAAAAAGAACCCCACTAAATTATTGTCTTTCTTTTCTTTTACAAGTATAAAATAGGGAAGGGATATGGGTTTCATATACATAGAGAGAGAAGGAGAGAGAGAGAAAATATAAAAGGTAGATTTTTCTATTCTCCTGCTACCCTAGGATTTCCTGATGAATTTCTGAGTTACTTTGAAAGATAGTTGTTAGACATTTACCAGAACATCACTAATTTTGAGAGTGGAGGTGACTGACCATGACTGCTAAAGTAGGTATTCGTGGTACATCCCCTGGCCCAGACTCTTTCTATCAGTCTGGTACACAAGCCCCTCCCCCATCCCACCCACTTCTATGAATATTACCTGTAATAGCTCACAGATGTCCCCCACTTTCTCAGGAGAATTGCTCTCAGCTTTCCCAGAGACACCTTACTCAGGAGGTTATGCCTGTAACCCTCCTCTCCTTCCCTCCAATTCCTGGTGATGGTCTGCAGCCAATGCGACTGATAGGAGAATGCAAAAAACTGTCCCTCTGGTCTCAAAGTATAATTGATACTCCAGAGTCCCCTCCAATCAGGCCCAGGGCAGACATCCTGCTGTGCTCCTCTTCTGCTTCCCTTGCCCTGTTTCCCCTCAATCAAGCCCTCTCCCACATCCCTGTCTCAGGTCTGCTTCAAAACTTCCAACTCAAGATAGCTAATTACTCGATACTATTTCTAAAAATTGCCAGGGATGTTCTGGTGTGTTTCTTCTTTAGTGCAATATCAGAGTTTGGGGTTCGACAACCAAAAAGAGGGGAAAAAGGTCGATTGCTTCTGGCATAGAGTTGAGAAAGAAAAATGTATTCATTAACTTTACTGAAGTCCTTTTGCTTGACATTTAGCAAAAACAAATACAGTTGCTTCCATTTGACATCCAGAAGACACTTTCCTCAGGAGCTAAGTTACCCTTGACGTTAACTAGGACACGGTCTCAAATGAGGACTGTGGTCTGAAACCTAAAGGCTGAAGAATCACCTTATTTGGGTTTGTCATTTTATTTTGATAGGCCCAGGCCCTGAATATGCAGATGTCGTGTTTCTGGTGGACAGCTCTGATCACCTGGGAATTAAGTCCTTCCCTCTTGTGAAAACGTTCATCAACAAAATGATCAACAGCCTCCCCATAGAGGCCAGAAAATACCGCCTGGCCCTGGCCCAGTACAGCGACAGGCTCCACAGTGAATTCCAGCTGAGCACCTTCAAGGGCAAGAACCCCATGTTGAACCACCTCAAGAAGAACTTCGCGTTCATGGGCGGCTCCCTGAAGATTGGAAATGCTCTCCGGGAGGCTCACAGGACCTATTTCTCTGGACCTGCAAACGGGAGAGACAAGAAGCTGTTTCCCCCGATCCTGGTGGTCCTGGCTTCGGCTGAGTCCGAGGATGACGTGGGAGAGGCTGCCGAGTCTCTGCGGAAAGATGGGGTGAGAATCATCTCCGTGGGGGTGCAGAAAGCTTCGGAGGAGAACCTGAAGGCCATGGCCACGGCTCAGTTTCATTTCAACCTTCGGACTGTCAGAGACCTCGGTACGTTTTCCCAGAACATGACACAGGTCATCAAGGATGCGACTCGGTACAAGGAAGGAGCCACTGACGCTGATATCAAAGGTAAGAAAGCCTTTGGCTGAGTGATGTCCAGTCCTCATGTGATCAGATCTATGTCTCTCCACCTTCATCTGTTCCATCTCCCGTTCTGATTGTCATAAATAGTCAGACTAAGGTACTGGAGATTTCTATACATCATAGTCTACTCTTCTCACCTCTGCCTTTTGTTTATGCCATTTCCTCTGGTAGGAATCCTCTTGCACTCCTTAGCTTTCGGACAGCTTGAATTGCTTCTGCCATCATTTAAATCTCAACCATACAGCCATCTGCTGTCGGAAGGCTTTCCTTTCACGTTTCTCTGTGGGTTTCACCATTCCTTGTGCGCACTGGATGGGAAGCAGCACTTCCCATGCTCTATAATTATTGGTTTCTGTATTGGTCCCCCACCAATGGACTGGTAGCACCTTGAGGGCAGAATTGGCAACTTATATTTGTTTCGCTCTAGGTTCTTTGGGCCTACACAGTGCCTGACAATGACCTGGCACTCTATTTCTTTTTTTTAAAAATTGATTTTTAGAGAGTAAAGAAGAGAGAGAGAAAGAAACATCAATGTGGAGAGAAACATTGATTCATTGCCTCCTATATGCACCCCAACAAGGGATCAAATGTGCAACTTAGGTATGTGCCCTGATCAGGAATCGAACCCACAACTCTTTGGTATAGGGGATGAAGTTCCAATCAACTGAGCCACCTGGCCAGGGCTGGTGTTCTGTTTCTTAATGAATGAATATATGGCAGTCTTACAGGTAAGGAAATAAGATCCTTGTCTGTTCTCTTTCCCTCACAGTCCTGGCACAGCGTGAGGCGCACAGTAAATATTCAATAAATGCCCATCAATTAACAAAAAGTTAACACTAAGTGGAAACAATATCCTTAGAATGAAGCCAGGCAGAGAAGGGGATACCCTCAGCTGTACAGTAGGGCCTTGAGTACGTCACCCAACCTCTGAGCTTCAGTTTCTTTACCTATAAAGTGAGGATAATATAGTGGCTACCTTATGATATGGTTGAGTTGGCTTGTATGGCATTTGGGACACAGGTTACTATTATTAATAATTTACAAATAAACACTAACCCAGGCAGTCATGCTGGGGGTTTGTTTTAGCCAGCTGTGTGGGGTTCAGAGTACAATGGCAGGTTTATGAGAATTATTTTTAATTCCAGATATTTCTGGGCCCTCACCAGGCATCAGGTATGGTAGGGACTGAGATAAGTAAGGCATGCCACCTGGCTTCTAGAGCCCACAATCCTAGTGGGTAGTTCTTGGCAAGATTGAGCTTATCTCTTGGCTACACTTCCCTCAGCTGTGGTTTCTCCACCTGTGCTTAGAGTTTTATGTGCATGTGGTGCACTCTCCCCTCAATTCCAAGTTCATAGAACCAACTGTCTACCTGGCATCTGCAACAGTATCCCAAACTTATCATGTCTGGAATGGAATTCTCGAATTCTTCCTGCAGCTTGTTCTTTCCACTCTCTTCCCTGTCTCAGAAAAAGACACCACCAACATCCACCCAGCTGTTAAGGGAAAAAACAAACAAACTCAGAGTTTTCATTGCTTTCTCTTTGTCTCTCAACACTCGCATTCCAGTTATCACCGAGTCCTCTCTGTTCTGCCTCTAATTCATGTATCAAAACTACCTTTGTTTCATCTCATCTACTGTTAAGAACCGTTATCTGTTTCCTGGACTAGGGCGGCCATTTCCTAATTGAGATCCCTGGATTCATTATTTGCCCTGAGTGACTGGGATAATATTGAAGATATTTAAATAAGGTCATGGATGCCCTTAGGATTTGGTCTGCAGCCCCCTGACCTTGACCATCATTGTCCCCCCACTCTCTGGAATTCTCGCTCCTTTCCCTCTCCTACTGTTCATTTGCCAGAATTCCTGCTCCCTCAAAACAACATGTGGCTGAATCCTTCCCTTCATTCATCTCTCCACCCAAATGTGACCCTCTCAGAGAGGCCTCCATGACTCCTTTCTGTCTCAGAGAAGTTAGTCCCAGCCCTACATCCCCAGCATAGTAACTCCCTGGAGTCACCTGTTTTATTTCCTTGCTAGCACTTATTACTGTCTGAAATAATATAATCCAGTTACCTGTCCTCCTCATAGGATGTGAGCTCCCTGAGGTCAGAAATATCTCTAACTCATCTCTGCAGCACAGCGCTTGAGAATAGTGGTGGCTTTTGTGGTGGTGATCATATTGGTGGTGGTGGATCCAGTGGAGGTGGTGCAGAAGGGGGTGGTGGCAACGGTAGAGGCGGTGGTGATGGTTTTGGAGGTGGAGGTGGTGGCGGTTGGTTGGTTGTTATTGTTGATGTTGGTGGTGGAGGTGGAGGTGGTGGTGGTGGTGGTGGTGATGAAGATCATGGTGGTGGTAGGAAAATTGGTAAGAAGCATCCTTCAGATAGAGGGAACAGCATTGCAAAGCCTCTGAAGTCAATGACCTTGTAAGTCTCATTCAGAACTTTTATCTTTGTTTATTAAAAGAAACCAGTGCTAACTTCATCTGTCATTTTCATTAATTTCCACTAATCCCTTTTGACAATCTGTAAATTGCCTTTCTCACCCTGAACTGGTGGTTTGTACTGATTCTCATACTTCTCTCTCCATAGTTCCCTTCCCTGTGGCCTGTCAGAAAGATTCCCTGGCTGACCTCGTGTTCCTGGTGGATGAGTCGGTTGGAACCAGTCAGAATCTAAGGAACCTGCAGAACTTCCTGAAGAACATCACCGCCTCCCTGGATGTGAGGGATAACTGCATGCGGCTTGGGCTTATGAGTTACAGCAATGAAGCCGAGACTATTTCTTTTCTGAAGTCAAGCTCAAGTCAATCTGCATTTCAGGAGCAAATACAGAAGCTTTCTCTCAAGGCTGGAAAATCCAATGCCGGGGCTGCCATTGAGAAGATGAGGAAAGAAGGCTTCTTACAGTCAAGTGGCAGCAGAAGGGCCCAGGGAGTGCCTCAGCTCGCCGTCCTGATCACTCAGAGAGCCTCAGAAGATGAGGTGCGGGACGCCTCAATGAAACTTCGTCGGGAGGACGTGACTGTGTTTGCCATGGGCATCCAAGGGGCTAACAATACCCAGTTAGAAGAAATAGCTTCTTACCCTCCGACAGAGACGACATCCATGCTTGAGTCCTATGCAGACTTGGAGACTTATAGTACAAACTTCCTGAAAAAGGTCCAGAATAACATATGGTCCCAAATTTCTACACTTGCTGAACAAAGGGATGCTGACAAAGCTGGTATGTTTTAAAAAAATACTTTTCTTATTATAAAAGTAACATGAGTGATTGCTTAGGGCTGGGGCAGGAGCTAGGACTGACTGCAGTCAGATAAGGGAACTTTAGGAGTTATGGAAATGTTCTGAAACTAGATTTTGGTGCTGGCTGCAAAACTTTATATATTCACTAAAAATCAGTGAATAATTACAATGGGTGAACTTTTTAGCATGTACATAAATCGTACTACAATAAAATATAAATAACTAAAATGTATTAATTATAAAATAGTTTAATAGTATTGATGAACATAAAGAAGAAAATAAAATTGTCTGTAATCCAATTTTTCAGATGAAACCATTCTTAACATTTATGTCTCTTGTGTTCTAGCTTACTTGTTGTGTCAGTTATAATTACATTTAGGTGTAAGTAACCAAAGAAGAGATAACAATGATTTAAACAAAGTAAAATTAGTTTTGTGTTTCATAAATAAGTCCTAAGAGAAGCAGACTGGGCTGGTGTGGTAGACCACAGTGTCAGGGACCCTGTCTCTCTCTCTTTCTCTCTTCTTCTTCTTTTTTTTTTTTTTTTTTTTGCTATTTGTGGCCTTTATTCCCAGGATCATAGTCCAAGCTAACTGTTCCACACCCAGCAAGCAGCAAAAATGAGAGGTAAGGGAAAGGGCAGACTTCCACCTTCTTTTCTTCAAGAATATTCCCAGAGATCACATAGACCATTTCTGTTTACATTCCGGTGGCCAGAACTTAGTCAATGTCACACTCAGCTGTAAAAACAGGAGCCTGAAAATGTAGTCTTTATTTAGGGCAGCCAAGGTAAAATTTTTACCTAGGTGAAAATTGGGGGTTCAATTCATTTAGAAGAAGAAGAGAATGTATATTGGGGATAACCACTATCATCTGCCTTATGCATTTTCCTATCAACCTATAGGTTTATTCTTTTCTGTAAATATTTCTTTGCCACATTCCTTTAAAGTTGGGAATCATAATCCATCATATGGACATAACATAATTTGTCTAATATTTCCTAAATTGTTGGATACATAGGTCATTGACAATGTTTTGCTCTTATAAAAAAGTGTTGCTGGCATCATCCTTATGCACAGCCATGATTATTTTCTCACTTTTTAATCATTTTTATTGTTTTTGTTTTTTTTTCTTTTCTTCCATCATTCTAGCAAAGGATATTCTAGTTAAGGTGCTTTGTGCATCTGCTGTGGTTTCACTGAGCTCTTTTTAAAGGAACGGGCAAGAGATACTTGATGTGACTTTGAGTTCACCTAATTCTGGGATATCTGCCATCTTCACACATTTACTCTGCAGATAAAATGCTTTCAAACAACAGGAACTGGAATTTGGCAGCACTCAAGTAGAAAAGAATTGTAATCTTCCAGTGATATTACAGGCTAATTTTAAACTCAGGCCAGTCAATTAAAGGTTTAAGGAATGCATCCTTAGCCAGCCCTGGATTTCTTCTGGCGCCATCAAGAAACAAGTCCACTATTACCTCCTGAGTGATACAGAGTGGCAACCACCTTGGTCTAGTACCAACCATTAGGGCACTGGAGGGATGTGTAATGTGGTCTCAGGGAGTTTGCAATGATGTGACATTACAGAATTTCGAAATGGGAAGATGTAGGACCAAGCCTAGTGCAAGGGCCATCCAAGGGGATTGGCTATCTTTTGCAAAACCTCAGTAGATGACTTCTTATTAATTCAGTGGCTCTCAAATATTAGTGCCTGACTTAGATTGGGTTTCTGAGAAGACAAAAATTTATGTGAAATACATTTTAATAAGCTCTCCAATTAACTCATGCTAGCAATGTTTGAGAACAACTCCTTTGGTGAATTTGCAGTGGACTACAGGGTTGTGGCCAGATTTGTCATTTCAGAATGATCAAACAGAGAAGCAATCTATATTGGCTTAGTCACAGTTGTATCTATCACATCTGGCACATAGTAAGATTCAGTTTATTAAATAGAACTTCATTAAATCAAGAGGAGACTCACATTAGCAAAACCAAGAGACTAATACATAGTAAAAGAATGATAAATATCTCCACAGTAAAAACTACCCATGCCCAGGGGCCCAGACATTCTTGTCTTCTGAGAAGTACAGTCTCTCCCTGCAGTGATGCCAAATGAGAAGCTGAATTGTAATCAAGGCTGTCAGAGTCTGTAGGATCACAGCTAGGGAGTTCGTTTTATCATTGAAATATCTAGTGGCATCCAATTGGGTGGATGACTCTATTTTAAAATCAAATATATAGATCTCTATTTCTATCTCTCTCTCTATACAACTGTATAGGTGAGTCCTGGGGTCAGGAGATACATTCTTTTTCAACACTGTCTGATCAAATGTTTTGTGGTAATGAAAACATTCTATAATTACACTGCCCAGTACGATAGCCACGAACCACATGGGGTTGCTAAGCACCTGAAATGTGGCTAGTGCAACTGAAGAGCTGATTTTTAAATTTTATTTAATTTAAAAATAGTTTAAATTTAAGTTTACATCTTAATAGCAACATGTGACTAATGGCTAGTGTATTGATCAGCCCAGTTCTAGGTAGGGTTGGATGGGCATTGCCATGGTTACCCACTGTGACTCACATTTCTCTCTCCTTCATTGTTGAGAACTGCTATCTTCTTTCTGAAAAACACCTAATTCTACTTCATTAGATACATAAATCAATTAATTCTGGTTGCTGTCAAGTTTTGCAGGCCTGGGATCAAGCCTGTCTTTTGCAGATAATTGCTTATCTTTGCCCTAATGCTTTATGTGTTGATTTCATAGCTTAATTCTCAGGGTCAAACTTATCTCCAGTATTTCTGATTTCTTTTTTTTTCTTTTTTTAAATATATCTTTATTGATTTCAGAGAGAGGAAAAGAGAGGGAGAGAGAGATAGAAACATCAATGATAAGAGATTCATTGATCGAGCCCGCAACCTGGGCATGTGCCCTGACTGGGAATCGAACCCCGATCGCCTGGATCCCAGGTCGATGCTCAACCTCTGAGCCACACCCAGCTGGGCAGTATTTCTGATTTCTTAAGGACCAACTCCCCATAGCTTGAAGCACTGTCAATAGCTATAAATTTCCAAAAAGCTGTCAAGAAAGAAAATATTTCTGAAATGACTAAATTGTCTCGTATTTTAAAGATCTTTTCACATATTCAACCAGACAATGGCATAAGTAACCTAAATTTTTGAAGTATGCTTTTCCTCCTACCCAGTTGCTACAAATGACTAAATAAAGTTGTAAACAGACTATTAGGAAAATTAAAGCACCTTTTCATAGAATCTGCTGAACAAAAGAGGGAACATTGAGAGCTCTTTTATTTAAAAATTTTTGTTAAAATCTTGTGATGCACCAGGCTGACTGGGCAGAAGCAGAGAACTAGGCAAAGTCTCTGCTTTGATGGAGCTGATATTCTATGGCAGGAAACAGGCTGTGCTTATGAACAAATGAGTAAGAAAATTTCAGAAAGTAATGGGTATCATAAAGAAAATAGACCGGGTATAGGATAGACAATGATTGATGTGCTCTAGCTGAAGGCCAAGAGGTTTTTTTGAAGAAAAAACATTTGAGTTGGCACATCCATGATGACATGAGAAGAAACCAGCCATGTGAGTCTTAGGTAGGGGGAAGGTGGGATATTCCAGGAAGAGGGGAAGGCAAATGCAAATGCCCTGGGACACATTTAAAGTACAGAAAGAAGCCCAGTATGGTTGGAGCACAGTGAGTAAGATGAAGGATTGTTGGAAATAAGGTCAGAGAGGAAAGCAGAAAGAAATGATCAGGCCAATATTTTATTTTTAAATTCTAAATGCAGTGGTAAATCATTTAAATAAAAGCATAATATGATCTGGTTTTAGTTTTAAATCTATTGTCCTACTTGCTCTGGGAAGAGGAGGTTATTGAGGAAGTAAGAACAGCAGGTCATCTATTCCACCCTGTTTCTCAAGAAATGATAAGACTTAACTGTCTCAAGGATAGATGTCAATACTAGAAAAACAATTTGACTTACAGCCTGGAGGCTTGGGAATCTGGTCCTTACTCTTTAATTTACTGGCTGTGTGTCCTTAGCCTTAGACAAACCACTGGGCCTCTCTCTGCTTTAACTTCCTCACAAGGTTGTTTCAAATTTCAGAGGAGAAAATGGGCATGAATGGGCTCTATGAAATGTACAGGCTCTGTGCCACCCTGAAGTGTCCTCATGCTTTAGAACCTTCACAGCGTCATGTTCCTCTACAAACCTGCTTGCAAATTTCTCTCCAGCTTCTTTATAACTAATGAAGCATGCGCTTTTCATATTTTATTTTCCTTTTTTCTTTTTGCAGGCTGTGTGGATACAAAAGAGGCTGATTTCTATTTCCTCATTGATGGCTCAGGCAGCATCAACCCAGAAGACTTTGAGCAAATCAAGGAATTTATGTTGGGGGTGATCAACATGTTTAGCATTGGCCCAGACAAAGTCCGAATTGGGGCTGTGCAGTATTCACGTGAGAAGAGAGTGGAATTTGATATCCATGTTTATACTAACGATGTGGACTTAAGACAGGCTGTTTTAAACCTCAGACAACTAGGAGGTGGAACTACCACTGGGGCAGCTCTGGATTTCATGCTGCCAATAATAAGGGAGGGAAGGAAGCATAGGTTAAGCGAGGCTCCCTGCCACCTCATTGTGCTGACCGATGGTAGGTCTGAGGATGACGTCCTGGAACCTGCTGAGAGACTAAGAGCTGAACAAGTCACCATTCATGCCATTGGTATTGGGGATGTTAGCGACACACAACTGCTACAAATTGCTGGGGGAAAAGAAAGGGTTAAATTTGGGCAGAACTTTGATTCTCTAAAAAGCATTAAAAATGAAGTTGTTCGCAGCATTTGCAGAGAAAAAGGTAAGCAAGACAAAAAAGGCTTTATTTTCCATACTTTGTTAGTTGCTTCAGGCAGACTGATAGGCTGAGACACAGGGTGATGTGTCCAGTTGTCTGGCTAACATTTTGCTCACTTCCTTTATCACCATGGAAGGATTCAGCTCCTTGCTTTAAACCAATTGCCAAGATTGAGGAATCTCTCTACAATACACAGCTGCCCTGGGGCCATCTTGAAAGTCAGAAGTAGGAAGGTTGCTAAGAATGCTGTGGCCTTGACAAAGCCCACTGCTGTGGTGTGTTAGAGACTCTACTCTGTGTGTGTGTGTGTGTGTGTGTGTGTGTGCATGTGTGCGCATGCACGTGAACTCATTGAGGCAGATGAGTAGAGTGGAAAGAAAATGGGCTCTGGCTTTAGGTAGATTAGGGTTCCATTCACTTTTCTACTTGAGCTTCACACTTCCTCCTGAGGATAATACCTACACCAGAGAATTCTTATAGGTTTAGCATAATGCACACCAGCCATTGTTTCTCTATTATGAATGAATATCCTACTATATATATAACTATTATTTATTTTTATTTATAACACATATTTGCATTTTGTTCAGCAAATTAAGTAACAAAAGTTAGGAAGAACAAATTTTCAAATTCCTGTACCTAACTATTATTTGTCTTATTAATAATAGCCACTTGCTAACTGAAGATGGTATGTGTTGATTGCCAGTATTGGCACATGAAAATATTGTCTACTGAGAAGCATAGGAGAAGGGGCGCTGGAGCAAAAGAGTCAAAATTCAAGCCCAGCTTTATCTCTTAGCTGGAGACCTGGGATAGGTTACTTATGTCTGCCTGCCCTGCTCCCTTGTGTGTAGCCTTATTGTGAAGTTTATAGGTAATAATGCATATGGAGCGCTACAGGAGTGCCTGGCACACAGCAAGTGCTATGTAAAAGATAGCCATTGCGGAGGTTGGTTAAGGTGTTCACTGATGAGGAAGGAAATAGAATTCTCACTTATTTGAACTTACAAAAGTGAAAAATGTGTTGGATTTTTCTCTGAGTCACTTAAATCAAAAGTAAAATGAGTAATCAAATGAGTAGCATTTATAACAACATCCCAAATCACAATTTTGTTCATTGTTCCCCCTGTTATGGGTAGTGATGGACAGAGTTCAGTCTTAGAGCATAAGAGTGAAAGGTCCCCAACATTTTGCAGGGTTGATGTAAAGAGAAGTAAAGGGTTTCAGGAAACATAAAGTAGGTTGTACCTTAGGTCTTCTCACGGGAGAAGGTCCTGAACCAATCTGAGGAGCTGCACTACATCTCTTGCAGGTCGGGTAGTTGCAGTTTAGGTGCCTGAACCCTAGCACACCTTTACTATGTAAAGATTACTTAACTTTTTTTAAGAATTTACATGAAACATTGGAATATTTGTCCTATGAATGCAGGGAATTGGTTACTTTTTCTCTGATTCCTTTTTGTGACCATTGTTGCATCCTTAACACATAGCTTGATAGTTGGCATTTCATATACTTCAAGAATTATGAATGAATAATTGACGAATGACGCATGCATGCATGAATAAATGAATACACGCTTTGGAAGTTACATTTCTTCTTTAAAACTTCCTGAATAATCTTCAATGGATTTCTGACTTGTAGTTTCTGTTTCTATTTCTATTCAACAGACTTTTACTAAAGAAGTGAATAAAATTTTCAAAAGCAGTAGCAGTTGCTTGAGTTAATTTTTGATGTTTTCTAATTAATGCATTTATTTCTGCTTTACTGTTTCTACTTATTCTGAAAACCTTACCAACCTGGCTTGTTTTTGATCTTCTTGATAACATGCAGGATGTGAAGAGATGAAGGCTGACATCATGTTTCTGGTGGACAGTTCTGGCAGTATAGGAGAAGGAAATTTTGAGAAAATGAAAACCTTCATGAAGAATGTGACAGCTAAGATTCAAATTGGTCCAAATGAAACTCAAATTGGTGTCGTTCAGTTCAGCGGTTATACTAAGGAAGAGTTCCAGCTTAATAAATACTTTACACAAAAAGAAATTTCTGATGCAATAGACGGAATGTCTCTCATTGGCCAAAACACTTTGACGGGAGGCGCACTAACCTTTGTAGATGAGTATTTCACCCTTCCCAAGGGAGCCCGTCCTGGAGTCAGAAAGTTTCTCATCCTTATCACGGATGGAGAAGCACAGGATGATGTGAGGGACCCTGCTAGAGCCCTCCGGGACAGGGGTGTGATCATCCTCTCTGTGGGCGTGTACGGTGCCAATAGGACTCAGCTGGAGGAGATCAGTGGGGATGGCAGCCTGGTCTTCCATGTTGAGAAGTTCGATCATCTAAAGGAAGTGGAAAGTAAACTCATCTTCCATGTGTGTGCTCGTCATGGTAAGTGACCCCATTACCCTTCAGGACTGAAGGATGTGAGCTATTGGCTTTATAGTGGGTTGTACTCTGGGCCTTGGCCTCTACCAGGACTTTGGTGTTAAGTTTTGGTCTTATCTATGTTAGAGTGAAACACCCATGACCTTCAAGGATATTCTAGATTAACAATTTTGTCAGCTATTTTGGAAACAAAATAATCTGGCTTTGGTGACTTCAAGTGCATTTCAAGAAGGCTGCAGAATTTTATATTAAACTTCTAACTCAGTTTCTGCATACCTAGATTTTCGAGAGCCAATTTTTAATACCATATGATTCTCCAGAATTGTTTCTACACCCATTGTTAAGCAGTAAATAGAAATACAAATTTATTTTCCCCTTAGTTAAATTAAATTCAGTACCCTAAGCACCCCACTCTCAAAAAAACAAACAAGTAACCCTCTGTATTTTAAAGATATAGTATGTATTTTCATTACTTCATATTATTATTCTTAACCTTTGTCAGCTAGATATTTTATATTTGCCTGTTCGTCTATCTATCCCTTTAGAAAATTTAAATTTGTTACTTTTTTTAATGACTGCTTGGGTGAGTCATCATTTTTATTTTACAAACTGTAGTCCTTTTCAAATTGTATTGAGCAACCTTCAGTTTCAGCCCGTTAACTTTAATGACTCTTGAATGAGAACTTGATCTAAATCCAGATACAAGAGAACAAACCAAAGCATTAGTAACTTTGCTGTATATTGTTCCCCCGGCAACATAGAGACCTCCTTTGGGCTTCATTCTTCAGAATTATGTGTGTGAAATTTTCAAATAAAACGTCTCAGTATAAACTCTGAATTTTAGGCAATGGTTCTAAGATTTCTCTCATAACAACTTAATCAGAATTTTTTCTTCTTCTAAAAATGTCAGTGAGCCCCGCCTTTGAAATCCACAGGGTTCTTCCTGGCATTTCTTCATTTTTGATAAACATAATGTTTGTGGAGGCCCTGTGTATAGCATAAGGTGAAATTTCAGCTGACTCATGCATTAGATGGATTCATAAGATATTACCAAGCCATGCCTAGTCACCTTAATAAATATTTATGATTCAGTTTCTATATCTGTATGAACCTAGGTTATTGCCCCCAGGTTTCTATATAAATAGGTTGAGCTCTTCCTAGTGTCTTAGACTTGAAAATCTGAGATCTCATTGCCAAAAATAAAGATTGCAGGTATGATAGGCAGGTGGAAAGTGGAAAAAGCCAGCCCTGGGAAGGCATGTGCTTACATTACTGAGGGAGGGAAGAGAGAGGAGAGAAAGTCTACACTTTGGAGACCCAGCCCGAATGGTCACTTGGATTCTAATGCTCAGGAAGGAGGGCTTGGGGCTAGGGATGAGGTGATAGGAGCCTTGGCTCTACCCCAACTTGGGGCCACTTCTTTTCTGAGTTATAGTTCAGGAAGTCAGAGGAAGGAGCACAAATAAATGTGGTGAGGCATGGCACACACGGCAAAGTTTGCCTATCTGAAGCTGAGGAGGTAGCTGGAGCCAGAAGGAGTAAGTTAAAAATCCCAGATTATACAATGAGTCCCTGAGCCATTTAAAACAGCAAGCCAGTTTGGCAAACATCGATCAAGCCTCACCATTCTATTGACTCTGAACTACCTACCTTCTGGCATTTCCTGCCAGTTGAAAGTCTGCTTATCAAAAGGCTTTACATGTGCTAGTGAGATATAGCAGAACAGAGCGGTGTGGCCTAAGATCCACCGCTAGTGGAGTCATATAGATTCTGTGGGAAGTTTGTGATGCCTGCTTCCTTCTCCTTTCAGATTGTAAAAGTATCCGACAGTTGGACGTTGTGTTTGTGCTGGACCATTCAGGCAGCATATCTCCACAACAGCAAGAAAGCATGATCAACCTGACTGTCCACTTGGTGAATAAAGCGGATGTTGGCAGAGACCGAGTGCAGTTTGGAGCTGTCAGATACTCTGACCAGCCTGAGGTTCTTTTCCACCTCAATACATACTCAACCCGATCAGCAGTCACTGAGAATCTGAGGAGGCGCAGGGACACCCACGGGAGCACCTACACTGCCAAGGCTCTCAACCGCACAGAAGTCCTGTTCACAGAGGAGCACGGCAGCCGCATCAAGCAAAACGTGAAGCAGATGCTGATCGTGGTCACTGACGGCGAGTCCCATGACCGAAGTCTTCTCAATGAAACAGCGTCGAAATTAAGAGACAAAGGCATCATCATCTACGCAGTGGGTGTAGATAAGGCCAACCAAGAGGAACTTGAGGCTATGGCAGGGACTAAAAACAACACTATCCATGTAAGCAATTTCGACAAACTGAAAGATATTTACCTGCCTCTGCAAGACGGCATGTGTACCAATGCACAAGAGCGTAAGTGGTCCCTTTTAAACTTTCCATGGGGGTAACAGTAAAAATGCAAGCAAAACATAATTTAAGTCTTGGCTTCCAGTTACCGGGATATTGTGGGGTGAACATTTCTCTGCTTAGGCTACATATTTTTCTCATCTCTAAAACAAATGTATTAATTGAGCAAGATCCTAAAGGTCCCTTCCCACCACAGTATGCATTGAAGAGATGATAGAAGAAGCATTCCTTGCTCTCTTGCAACCCTGTTGCCTTTTTCTTGGCAGAAGGGAACTCTCCTTTAGAGAATATTCACCTCACCTTATCTCTTGGCAGTTTTGTGCTTCTCCGTTTGCTTAATGTTCTCAAGGTATTCACTGGGCATCAGTTTCAGGCCAAACTCAAATGGAGAGTTTCATGGTTTAAAACAGATAAACTTTTGTCTTCAAACATCCAGGGCCCTCTCAATGGGATTGTAGGCATTCTACAGGGTCCTAGGAAGTGCAAGTGGTCTAATGTGCTTGGATGAGTATCACTAGTGCAGAGGAAGACTATGGGAGTTCAGTGCGGAATAATGGAGACTGACTGCTAGGAACAAGGAGGGGAGGGGCCTCAGCTGATTCCACGAAGTACCATTGAGCTGGGATAGACAGAAGGCAACACAGCTGAGTGAGGCAAGGGTGAGATTTGCCACTTGAGGTCAGAGTAGCAGAGATTGATCAGTCATCTAGGGAGGCCTCCTTGGAAGGTGAGAATCCTGGCTGTGTATTGGCCCAGTCCTTCAAACCTGGCAAATGAATTAATCAACTAATTTCCTTCCTCCTTTCCTTCTTTACTCCCTTCTCTTCTTCCTTTTCTCTTTTCTTCTTTACTCTTTACCAGTTTAAAATCTACTTTTGAATCTAAAACAAATAACGTTCTAAGACTGACATTAACCCCTCTCCCATCCTTGTAAGCAGTTTAACCCCAAACAAAAACTTCTCCCCAGTCCTGTGTTAGATCGGCATTTGCTGTGCAGAATGAAACTATGTCTAACCACCATAGCTCTACCTGACGTACGTAAGCAATAAGTTCATCTTCTTGGTGTCAGACACTGAATTATGGTATCATCTTTAAGAAAAAAAGTATGACTTTTCCAAGGCACCAGGACCATCCTGATTCTTCTGCCTGTTCGAGCCTATCCCAGGACTCACACCCTGAAATCTGGTCTCCCTACCTACCATCCATATCACCACCTTCCAGCCCATTCTCAACATTAAGTGATCTTTCTAATACACACTAGATTGTCACTGCTCTGCTTACAGTTGACAATTTCTAAACTCTTGAGTTCCATCTGGCACCTGTCCACCTCTCTAATTCATCTATTGCCCTTCCCCTCTTCAGAATCTCTCCTGTCATTTTGAAATTCCTCCACATCTTTGCATACACCATTCTATCCACCACGGATTTACCAGCCCACCACTTCCTTTGGCTACATCTTACTTGTCTGGTATGTTTCAGCCTTTGTTTGCTAGTTTCCTGACCCAACACCAGACAGTGTCCCCACTTTGCCCCCCAACTCTTGTACCTTCTATTTCTCCTGATAGTAGCAGGTAACACATGTTTATGATTTCCTTATCTGTATTTGTCAGAAGACTATGAGCTCCTTGAGCAGGCGTGGCCTCTTGTTTATCATTGGGTCCCCACCAAATCTAGTACATTGCAAGGACTATAGTCTAATCCTAGCAATATGGGGGCTATTTTATTCTCATTTCCCATGCCTACCTTTTGGAGGTAGATGCCGAGGATGACTTTGGGATGCAAGAAATTTATTAGGGATCCACACCTGTGAAAGAAAGGGGGAAAGCAGGATGGGCAGAAATCAACAGTGATCACGCTTGACAAAGCTTCAAACCTGGTTCTGCAGCCAGTATTGCCCATCTGAGTTGGATAAGGCTAAAACAACTAGGTCTTTTTATGACCTTTTCACTTAGTCCCCAGACGGGGGATGCCCTGGTAAGGGCATGGCCTTCAGCAAGGCATCATTCTGCAATGAGGCTGACCCTGAAGGAGCTGACAGCTAGAGGCTGTCTGCTGACAACACTCCCACAGCCGGGCAGCAGGTCCGACAGCAGGTCCTTCCTTGAAGGTCTATCTGAACAACCCATCGCTGTGTCTGCTATACTTCCCTTGCAAGGAATTGTGTGTCAGTAAGCATTCCATTGTCTCAATTACCTTTAGTAATCACTTTAGTGCTGCTTCCACCCCAGCCATTGCGTATGATTAGAACTGAGGATCATTTCTTGGTTATGGGACATTTCACAGTGGACTTTAGGAAGATGACCCCATGCCCTGTTTACTAACCATTAGCACTTGTTCCATGAAGTTTTAATATTTGGGCGATATTACTTTTAAAATTTTACAGTAGAAAAAAGTGCTGGATTTAAGGATAGAAAGGATCGAGAGGGCCAGGCACCAGCTTCCCTGCCTACTAATTGAGCACTTAGGCAAGTTACTTAATCTCTGGATTCCATTTTTGTATCTATAGAATTAGAATAATTGCTCATAAGGTGGTCATGAATATTAACTCTTACTGGATGCCAAAAACGTTTTAAACTTCCATCCTCTGAGTAGCTTTTATTGTCAAATGAATCATGTAAATAAAATTTGAAACAAAGTCAATTACCTTCTCCATCTTATTTTCCCTTCCTTTTGAGAAGCAATTGGTAGCTCTCTCTTCCGTTAACTTATCTCAATTTGCTACTAATGTGGGTATTTAGTAAAACAATTTGAGTATTTGAGTAAAAGGGAAATTTAGAAGGATTCACGAGGAAAGTAATTGATTTATTTTTTCCAATTGCAGCCTGCAACATTCCAGAAGCTGATATGATTTTCCTCTGTGATGGCTCTGACATGGTATCTGATTCAGAGTTTGTTACCCTGACAACTTTCTTGTCAGACTTAATTGATAATTTCGACATTCAGTCTCAAAGAATGAAAATTGGGATGGCTCAATTTGGGGGCAACTACCAAGAAATTATTCAATTGGACAACTCTCTGGATAAAACCCAGTGGAAGACTAAGATTCAAGCTATCACCAAGAGCAATGGGCCTCCTCATATCAACTTTGCCCTTCACAAAGTGCGCTTTATGTTTGAGCCATCTGTCGGTGGGAGAAGAAATGCTGGTGTACCCCAAACTTTGGTTGTGATCACATCTGGGGATCCCCAGGAGAATGTGGCAGATGCTGTAAAAATCCTGAAAGACCTTGGAGTTTGTGTCCTGGTTTTGGGCATAGGACATGTTCAGAAGGCACAACTTCTGCCAATAACAGGCAATTCTGAAAAAATACTCAGCTTTCAAGACTTTAATAAATTAAAGAATGTGGAGGTGAAAAAAAGAATTGTCCGGGAAATCTGCCAGAGCTGTGGGAAAACCAGTAAGTGTTTTAAAGTGCTCTTTGTTTTTGTTTAATTGCATCGTCCCAGTTCTCCACTTCCCAAGGTGTCTATGGGCTCGCTCTAGCAGAACTTAGTTTTAGAATAGTGTGCAGTGAGATTAGACCTCTGCTCTGCTTCCAGGAAATTTGGCATCAGTCAGCCTCCCTCAAAGACAAGGAAAAGGGTGCAGAGACTGGAGGAGGCCCTGGGTTGTATCCTCTGGTCGGCCCTGTCCCTTTCCTGTAATCCAGTATTTATGCCCCTCTTAGCATCTGGGATTCAGTCTTCTATTTCTATCTTTCCACTTCAGGAAGCCCTAGAGCAATGCCTTGCACCCAGTAGGAACTAAGTAGAATAAATACTTGCTGATGGGAAGTTTTACTATGTTAACTGTGTTAAAGTATCTTGGAAAGGATTCTATGTATGTGTGTGTGTCTCTATGAGTACTTGTGTGTCCTCTTCTTTTAATGATGGCACTCATGTAATCCTATCATAGTAAAGATTTGAAGTGTCCTTACAGATTACTTAATTTCCAGAGATCACAAGCACAAATGGCTGCAAAGGCCAGGTGGGTAATGTGAAAGAGTCAAGGGGGCAGGGAGTGAAGAAATGAATGTCTTTTACATCCCATTTGGATGCTCAACTAGAGGCAGATTATGGTGGTGGAGAGAGCCTTGGGTCCAGAATCAGAAAGCCAGGGTTCTAACCCTGACTACTTGCAGCCACTTCCATGAATTGCTGTCTCCTCATGTGTAAAATGAGCAAGTGGACAAGGTCAGAGGTGATCAAATGGCAACTTGCATCTGAATTGTGTTTGTCTTGTCTAGTGTGGACAACTTATTAAATTAGTTGACAGCTTTTAAAAACTGGAGATTTTACATTAAAAACGTAGATTTCAGGCTTTCCTTTGAAAAAATCAGATGATCTGACAACACTGAGTCTCCTTTCCCACTTGGCTACTCTCAGTTGGAGCTGAACAGTGAACAGATGGGTCATTGCTCTCCATTCATTTTCTTCACTCTCTGCCCACTTCACTCCTTTACATTACATTACCCACCTGGCCTCTGAGTGTGTGACATCTGGAACAATCCCTAAGGACAATTCAAATATTTAATGTTATGATTACATGAATCGTAATATGTCATCATTAAAGGAAGAAAATCTGCACAGGCACACACACACACACACACACACACACACACACACACACACACAGCCAGTCACTGAGAATGAGACTGAACCATGATTAGAACTTCAGATAGCTATTGGAACTTGTGTTAGAAGAAACACATGTGTTATATGTTGACTGAGCAGCCATTATCTTCCTTCTTGGACATTTTTTGGGTAGTAGAGACTCTCCCTCTCTGGGCCATGACCACTCTCCTTTTTCTGCCCTTCCTTGCTTCTATTTACTCATTAATCTGGTCTTGTTTCCCTTGGTCTGCAGATTGCTTTATGGACATAGTGGTTGGGTTCGACACATCCACTCACAGGCCTGGGCAGCTGTTGTTCCATGGCCACCCCCGGCTGGAATCATACCTCCCAGACATCTTAGAAGACATCACCTCCATCAGGGGGGTGAGCTGTGGGGCAGGAGCAGAGACACACGTGAATGTGGCCTTTAAGGTAAACAGTGACAAAGAATTCCCTGCCAAGTTCCAGATTTACCAAGAACCAGTATTTCACAGCCTTCTGCCAGTCACCGTCAATGGGCCAACTCATCTGAATGCACAGTTCTTGCAGCAGCTGTGGGACACATTTGAGGATAAATCTGCATCCCGCGGACAGGTATCCATGTCACATTCTATCTGCCATCTCTGCTTGCTCTCATGTTTCTCCCTCCTGATTATATATTTCATTTTCATGTCCTCCTATTCTCTGCTTTCTTCTTTCTCTAGGTGCTACTCATCTTTTCAGATGGTATCGGGGGTGAAAGCATCACAATGCTTGAAGATCAATCAGACAGGCTCAGAGAAGCAGGTACCTACTGAGTTGAAAATTTAAATGATGAAGTATGGAATGTGCTGAACAAATCTCTACCTTTTTAGGTGCTCCAGATCTTGAGATCTGTCTGGTCATTTGTAGCAGATGCCACGGTGTAGGTGCCTTGCCTGAACCCCTTTGACCAGCCTACACACTCACCTCCCAAATGCTGCAGATGTTGTGGCCAAGTGCTTACACCTGTGACCTTCCACAGACATGGACCCTTAACTGACCTGAACCATTACCTGATGCTCTGGGGGTGGGGGGGTTCACCACTTCCCACCTGGGAGTGAAGGGGGGCAATCATTGATACAAGGATGCAAAAGCCCAAGGTCAACTCTGATATAATTTATTTCCTCATGAATCAAGCCAAGGTGAAGACTCTACTGAGGCACATCCTTGCTTACAACTTCCCTTTCCCTTTCTGCATTCTCTCTTCCTCAGTAAACCACATACACACAAATTCCTCTCTCAAATTCAGCTTCTAGAGAACCTGACCTAAGATATTTCTTGTTACTTTTGATTTCCCATGTGGAAGATAGCAGCATGGAATTTGAAAAGCACTTCTCACTGTATATTCCCTGTCCATGTCATAGTTTCAGGCTGAGCTGGACGCTAAATGCAGAAGTTGAGAGTAATATCCAATGAGAGGAGGGAGGCTCCACAGATTGTCAGATGGGGTACATCGTTTGAGACTTCCTGGGTGTGGGCCCACACTGACATCTGGGATTCAGCTTCTGTGGGCAACCTCCCTAGAGGCCACAAAATGTCCTGCTTTATTGCCAGGTTGTATCACCCTCCCTTCTCAGATCCCTTCAACACCTTTGTACTGATCTTGGTATATTAAATTACTTAGTATGGCCCATGACACTTAGCAGGATCTGGCCCTGCTCCCCACTCCAGCTTTACCTCACCCCTCACACTCAGTGTTCCAGGCGTATAGGACCTTTTCCATTTTTCCTCCAATGTGCTTCACAACCCCACTCCCCCAGTCCTTGCATATACTCTTTTCTTTTGCCTAGAACTCTTCCCACTCTCAGCTTTTCTCCACCTCCTATCTCTGTTTTTTTCTTGACCAACTCTCATTCATTTTTTTAGGATCAGCTTAGACATCAGTTCTTTACAGAAACCTTCCACGACCTTCCAAAACTGAGTTAAGAGCTTCTCATTTAGGCTCATAGCACCCTGATGTTTCTCTTAGAGTACTTGTCCCTTCTCAGAGCAACTGTCTTCCACCTGTCACCTCTTCCAGTAGACCAGACCTCTGTGGAGAGAAGGAGCATGCTATTCTGTTCATCTTGTATCCCTGATACAATAATTAGTATATTTGAGGCTCCTAAAAAGCAAGTATTTGTTTAATGAAAGGATGGATAGAGTGAATGAGCTAGTGAATGAGTTAATAAGTGAGTGAGTGAGTGAATAAATGAATAAGTGAACCCCCAGGTATGTCCAAGAGTTCAGCTGAGACTGAAATTACCCTGGGCTTTCCTCAGGCTCTCAGGGCCTAGGTTCCCAAGGATGTTTGACAATGGAGATGACTTGAGAACAGTCATTAATTTACATTCAGTTAAATTCAGAAAAACTTGGAAGATGAACAAGAATAATGCCCTTTCTTAAAAATTGCTTTCAAATGCCTAAGAATTGCATCAAAATTGATGGTGAGATATTAAGCAGTTTTCTGTCAGTGTTTTTCTGTAGATTTGTAAATAGTTTCTCTTGCATACTTTTTCTTGGGAAATTTCACTCTACAGTCGGGGATCAATGAGTACCTAGTGTGTGTGTTGACAATGCAGGCAAACCGGCTATTGAGTTCTTCATACCTCAAGAGTACTGCTTTCTGTTAGGTTTTTCCCCCCTTTCTGATTCTTTGAATAATGTTCACTGAGTTGCTTTTCTTCTTCTTCTTCTTTGTTGGGTGAGCAATTCCTTTGGTTTTATACCTGTCATTTTTACTGCATAGGACTTGATGCTCTGCTGGTCGTGTCGCTAAACACAACTGCACATGACGAGTTTTCCAGCTTTGAATTTGGGAAAGGATTTGATTACAGGACTCACCTGACCATTGGAAATAGACACCTGGGCAAAATGCTATCACAGTATCTGGTGAGTTTTTGAACAAAAAGTCCAGTTATTCAAAAGGCAATAGGAGCAAAACTGGAATCTTGATGAATGTTCCCAAAGATGCCTTGATTGCCCTAAATTCAGTACATAGTCTTTAGTATGTAAAAATGTCTGAAAGACTAGAGCACCAATTTTTTTTTTTTTTTTGCATGCCCTTTTATCCTTTTGTTATTTCACCAAACGAATGCATAGGGAACTAGAAAACCAACCAGTCCTTAATCAAATAAGAAACACCACAGAGAGTCTATGCTACAGAAATCCGAGGGAACAGGAGACTCAACTAGGAACCAACCAGTCTTGTGCAAACTTGGCCTGTGGCCATCTATGCGGTGGGCATCCTTCCTATAAATAGAGATCATTTCCTTGGAGAGGTATGTTGCCAATGCAGTTGTTGCTACCCTGGCACCCTTTCTAAACTCTTCAGTCAAAAAGCACTTCTTATTCTCGGTAACCCTTTGCCCAAGGGGAGAGCATAAGCTTGTAGGTGGCGGATTATGATTTTTGTGAATACAGTTTTTATGTAATTGAGTTCCTGATAATTGTTGCTCAGTAAGCCTGCTTTTTTTCAGGGAAACATTGCAGAGAGGACATGCTGCTGTGCACTTTGCAAGTGCCCAGGGACTCCAGGACCTCATGGGGCCCGAGGACTACAAGGCTTGAAGGTGCCATTCTGTTGAAACAATTCTACTTAATAGGCCTTGGTTTAGTGTGGGTGGGACCAAGACTGAGACTGAGTAGTTGAATTTACAGCCTTCATTAGATGCTGATGTAATTGCCTTGGGCATTTTGTGTGAGTTCTGTGGTGTAGGAGCCAGTTCAGAAGGGTTCACTTTTGATGCTGCTATTAAGACTAACTCCCTTTTCTCTGATATCTCCTTAGTGATATTGCTTTTTGATTTTTACAATTTATACTTTTTACTCACTTTAGACCGTTCGAAAGGTGGCCATTTGTATGCCTTCTTGGGAGAGGTGTCTGTTCAGTTCTCTGCCCATTTTTAAATTGTGTTGTTTGATTTTTGTTGTTGTTGAGTTGTATGAATTTTTTACATATTTTGGATATTAGCTCCTTGTCAGACATACTGTTTGTAAACATCTTCTCCCATTTGGTTACAAGAACCATATGATTTGACTCATATGTAGGATAAAAAACAGAAAGCAACACATGCACAAACAAGTAAAAAGCTCATAAACACAGACAATAGTGTGGTGGTTACTGGAGGGGAAGGGGGGTAAGGGCAGGTAGAAGAGAGTAAAGGAGGTCAAATATATAATGATGGAAGGAGACTTGACTTTGGGTGGTGAACATACAGTGCAATATACAGATGATGCATTATAGAATTGTACACTTGAAACTTACATAATCTTATTAACCAGTGTCACCCCAATAAATTTAATAAATTTTTTAAAAGGTGGCAAGAGGTGTTAAAAATAATGGGGAAAGTTGTACTTCATCAGCAATAGAATGTGACTGAACTGCAAAAAGAGCATAGCATTGCAGATTAATAGCCCTTTAAAAACAAGTTATAAAAGATCATTTGCACAACAATAGCATAGATAAGTATATCATCATATTTTCATTCAATGGATTGCTCTAAAGTGTTGAAAATGAATGGGCTGCAGCTATTCACAACATGAATTTATTTTACAAACACAATAATGGCCAAAAAAACCAAAAAACAAAACACAGAAGAATAATATGGTATGACGCCATTTATAAAAAATTTGAAAACAGACAAAACTAACCTCTAGTGTGTAGGGATGAGTCAGCAGTGGAATATAAAAAAAGGCAAGGAAGTATTCTCATAAAGGTCAGGAGGGTCCTCCCTGGGGTGGGGGTGGAATGATTGGTGATTGGGATGGACTCTGCATCTGGGTACCATCCTTGTCCTCCTTCTTGGCCTGGGTGGTGGCTACACAGATATTTACTTTATAATAATTAAGTTCTACCGTGGTATTTTATCTACTTCTATGCACTTTTTCTAGTGGGTTCTAAAGATCACAATTAAAAGAGTCTGGTTTGTCCTATTTTAAGAGACCAAATACAATGCTTCTTCCCGAGTACAGCATTCTCCATGCTTGTGGAAGGGTAATTTATCTTGGACATTTTACTGTTATGGTATTTTGTTGAGCACAGTTCCGTCTGATTACTTTGCTCGTGTCACTTACACTCTAAGAGCACAGCTCCCGTGTATGCTGAGCAGACAGCCAGGCCCTGTGTTAGAGGAGGAAAGAAAACCTCAATTGAAATCCTTGCTACAAATTAGCCATGAGGCAGTTAAGCCACACGTGGCGGAGGGAGAGAGGGTCGCCGTTTACATACATGGAACCTTGTTCTTGGGAGAAGTGCTTATTTTTCCTTGAGCTCTCAAAGAAGCAGAAGAAAATAAAATCTGTTTGGAAGTGTTATTGATTTGCCTGCTAAAAGAGTTATGGTGGCCACCGCTGTCCTTGATGTAAATCTCTGAGTCACAGAACTGGCCCTGACACCCTGAGTTGCAGGTGGATTCCGAAGGTCAGTCTCCTGTAGGTATCAGGAGGGTCACCTTCTGCAGAGACCTTCAGTGATGAATGTCAGACTCTCTCCAAACTCACAGCCACACCTGCAAAAATGACCGAGTTGGAGGGAGGGACTTACCTAAAATGCCTAATGACCTCACAAGTTTGCATTGATGGAAGATGGCTAAAGTTTAATTTTCTTTCTTTCCTCCCAGGGTCCTCTAGGTCTGAAAGGCACCAGGGGACACAGGGGAGAGGACGGAGACCCTGTAAGTTTTTGTGACTCACCCCCCACCCCCCACATTTAATGATTTTATTTTTATAGAAAGCTTTATTTTCTCCTAGAAGAGGTGGTGGGGTTTTGTTTATATATATATTGTTTGCAGTTTTGGGGGGAAGTGGGTTGCTTTTCTTTACCTTTTTCCTTGTCTGAATCACAAGGCACTTGCTAAACCAATTTGAGGGCTGGGAAGGGAGCATGCTTACCTACGTGTTTTCTGGGATATTTTTATCAGTGGCAGGGAGCTAGGCACGCTCCTCTCTACCCCATGCAGCACTTAGTGCGTGGAAAGGGAAGCAGGCAAAGCACCCCCAAGGTGTGGAATCATAGTCACATGGCTCACAGAGGCTTTCGAATCTCAGTCTTTGTAGGGTCATTTTCATTTGGTTCATCAATCAGATCTTGAAAATGGATTCAGAGGAACTGAAACCACATGGTGGCTCCATCTGGGGTGGGAAAAGTTCAGGCAGCATCTAGTCTGCCTCTCCATCCCCTTAGAATCAAGGTCAGCTCCTCATTCTGGGCAGCGACAGCCTCTGGAGTCAGACAGTCCAGGGCTGGCCTAGATGTGAAACCTTAACAAGATACTTAACTTCCTGTTCTTCAGTCTCCCCATGTGTAAACATAAGCTCCTCTAAGACTGTAGCTTACAAAATGAACACTGTGCTTCAAGTCACCCACCCTGTACCTGCAGAGAGGCCTTGGAGCCCACCCAGTCAGCATAGTAGGATTTGAGTGTGAGGACTCGTGTCACGGCACTGCCTGGCTGTGAGCCCACGGCTGGCTGAGACTCCAGTCAATGGGAAGCTGGAATCTTTCAGCACTTCTCAGCAACCTGTGGCCGTGGGCCAGGCCTCCTACTTTACTGGGAATAATCCTCAGAATAAAGAAAGCAAAGCAGGGGGAAGGAAAATCGTTTCTCCTCTCACCTCCCAAGATGGAGTGAATTAAGGTCATTGCTAAAAAATTATTTATCCATACAGCAGACCTTTAAGCAGGTGCTCTACACCCAGATCTGAGCCAGGCACAAGGGACACAGTAGGGAAAGGGGTAACCGGGGGTTCCTGCCCACCAGGAACACAATACTGTTCCTCTCGAGATGCATTTCACTCTAGCATCTACCTGTATTGAAATATTTCCTGGGAGAAGCAGGATGGGTGGGAGATGCACAGGTCATTGACCTTGAGTGTTCTTCCTGTGTGGCTGGTTAGACTTTGGGGATCTTCGACCTGGTAGGCCTTCCCTTGAGCACTGGCTTAGAGTAGTGACACTTCCCATCAACTGCTTCTACTCGGCTCCAGTCCCCTGGCACTGATTTGCTTCTGTACCATGAGCCATGCTTACTTTTCCAGGGCAACGTGAAGGCCCTGGACAAGAGTTCAGGGCCAGCATGTCTTACCAGAGAGGTTGGAATATGGCTGGAAAGTGAGGCGACTTCTAAACCTGTGGCTGTGCCCTGTGATGAGGCAGTGAAGTGACTGAGCTCATCCTGCACCTTTGTGTGATCTTGGATCTGAAAAGAAGATTGACAGGAAAAATGTTTGAATAGAGGGGAAAAAGAGAGTTAAATGAATGAGCTGGTGTGAGGATTTGTTTGTCTAAAGCTCACAGTGCCCATGAGCTCTAGCTTCACTCTCAGAAAGTAAACTGCAGGCAGCTTCTGGCAAAAGAATCACTTTGGATATCTGTTTGGATACCTTCTTAGGGAACACGAGGAGAAACTGGATCCCCTGGAGATAAAGGGATTGCAGGATGTCCAGGGCAGTCTGGTCAAAAGGTAAGGCTCTGTTGGGAATGTTATTTTAAATTCTCCTCAACATCCTCGCCTTCTGCCCTGCATTCCTTCTCTTGTTTTCTGTCTTCCATCTCCTCTTCCTCTCTCCCTTTCTCCAATTGCATGTTAGTTGCCTCATCTGCAGATTACTTACATTAGTCATCTCAAGGAGTTTTGAGCATTAATTAAGTTATACCTATAACCTCTTTGTGGTTGTAGAGCTAAAAGTAACTAAAGAAATACACGATCACTGCCTTTAGGGAGGCAGCCCCTTCCTGCTGCAATAGTCTAGGATCCCACATTCTGACTTCAATATGTCACTGAGAGATGTTCACTCTTTTACAGGGAACCAGAGGACTTCCTGGGTCAAAGGTACTGTAGTTTCTTCTCAAACTGCATGTCCTCATGGGATGAGTTTCCCAATAACTGTTGGGCAGGGATCTCCTTTGCCTGACTGCTACCCCTTGTTGTGCCTCAGGGAGAAGAGGGAGAAGATGGGCTAGCCGGCCTTGATGGGGAAGAGGTAAGCCATTTTCCTTCAAGTTCCATAAAATTAGAATGAGGTTGATATGTTTTTTAAATGGGAATTTTGTTTTCCTTGTCTTTTAGGGCCTTTGTGGATTTCCTGGAAAAAAAGGGGCAAAAGGTTATGCAGGATCTCAGGTAACACTTTTCAGTACATCAGAGCAGGAGAACTTGGTAACAGAGACAGTCTTAATTGCTGTGTCAGTGGTTATTAGGGATAAAATTGACAGCTGACTTAACTGAGTAATGAAGGCCCATTACCATTGAATAGGTGCTGCATTTGGTTCGAAACAAGTGGGTAACTATGTAATTTTCAAGAATTTCCAGCTAGAAATTTCAAGGCGTGAAAGGATCCTCTATGGGCATGTTTTCCAGAGGTCTGAAAATGAGTGCTTTTGCCTGTCAGCAGCTTTCATGTTCTCTTCATTGCATCAGGAAAAAATTAAAAAAGCAAGAGACAACATTATTTTGGTGGTCTTGGTATAGCAAATCACAGTGAAACATTTATTTTTAAATTTTAAATTCATTTCAAAAATTAATAATTTTTTAAATTTTGAATTCATTTTATGAATTAATATGTGCTTACCTGGTTTCAAGCAGCTCTGCTTTTATGTTCTGATACATTTATTTATCAATTGCTTTTGAATGCCTGAGGTGTGCCAGGCACTGTGTTACATACCAAAGAATCAGAAATGAACCACACTGTCTTTTGTCCTCAAGGATTCTACAGCGCAGTTTGGGAGACAGACATATTAATAGCTAATGGCAACACAGAATGTGATTGGGGCCTAGCTAAGGGTCCTAACTCAGCAGGGTGGGGAAGGAGTTCAGGAAATCTCCCTGGAAGAAATGGTCCCTGGGTTGAAGATGAATAGGAAGTAGCAAGACATGGAGGAAAGGCATTCCAGGCGGAGGGAACAGCATGAACAAAGACATGGAAGGTTGGGACACTGCAGTTGTTCTGCCTGGTGTGAGTATTAGAGTGGAAATAGAGAGAGGTCATGTTCAAGAGGTGGTGGGAAGAGATCGGGAAAGCACATACAGAGGAGATGGGCTTTTAACCATTAGGGAATAGGGAGCCTTTGAAAGACTTTAAGTAGGGGGATCACAATTGATCTGCATGTTAGAGATATTACTTGGCAGTCGCGTGGAGGATATGTTGGAGATGACACAGGTGCAAGGCAAAGATGAGAGGTGAATCTGTAACAATCAAGGTGAGAAGTGATGAAACCTTCAAGTAAAGCAATGGCAGGAGAACAGAAACAGAACATATTAATGGCATGGCAGAGCCCAGACTGGAGTGAGCACCTAGGGTACAAAATTTAGGGAAGCCTCAGTGTGCACAGAATGAGTGCTTCCCTAAATTTTGCATGGCAGGTGACTTGCTTATTTCATCCTAGTCCTGGCTCCAGGACATAACATCTCCAGATCTAGGTGACTAGAAGACAAGGAAGTTAGTCAGTCCAAATGCCTGTAAGGATCATGGCTTGGACAAGTTGAGTTGGGAAAAATTAAGTTTGAGTTAAGAATGGAACATCTTAATGGAACAATTTAATTATAGATGCCAGAAGTTGCTAGACTGGCTGGGGTGTCCAATACAGTACCCAGTAGCAATATGTAACTATTCAAATTAATTAAAGTGATAATTTCTGCTATTTGGTTGCACTACCACATTTCTTGTGCTCAGTAGCCACATATGGCTAGCGGTTACCATATTGGACAGCGCAGATCTAGAATATTTTCATCTCTACCAAAAGTTCTGTTGGACAGCACTATGCTAGACTATGAGGGTGTTTCCCACTGCTCAGCCTCACTACAGGTAATACTAACTTTAGGCTTAGAATTAGACTTAGTTCTGCTTGAGGAGTTGGAGGGAACCTGGCTGGGGCAAAGGAACATGGATCATTTTATATGATTGATTTCCTCCCCTCAAAACACACACAACACTTGACATTTTAATATTATTATGAAACCCTCCTACAAGCTAACTCAGAAACTCATTTTATTCTTTCAGGGCAGCCCAGGTGCCAGAGGCCCCCCTGGAGAATATGGGGAGAAAGGCTTCCCAGGCGATCCTGTAAGTTACTAGGACCCAGATGGCTCTGAATTTCTTGTTCCACAGTTCTTATTTCCTTTCCCTTGTGTCTCCTGCTAACCTGTAGGCAAAGGCTTGTCTTGGGAGTGGGGGAGATAAGTTGACTGAGGTTTATTTGATTGGGAAAGATCTGTCTGCTTCTGATTTGGGCTGATTACATACAAAATTCAGAACTGGGAACTTAAGTTCCGTTTTATTCATCCTTGTGGTATATTGAGACTTTTAAGTTCTTTTGGAGGAGAAATTTCCCTTCTATCTTGCAGATTACCTAGATGTGGACTTGATTACAGGGGAATCTGTTGCACAGTTCAGGAAGCGGCATAAGCATGTTTGGACTAGTGCATCAATGAAGTTGTCAACACAGAGAAAGGAAATTCTTCATAGCTTCAGCATGCACTCTAATAAGTCATCATTCATCACCATGCCCCTTTCAAACTTGGGAAACTATTACTCTCATTTTTTCCAAAAATCTATGAGTTTCAAATATGGAGGATTTTTCTCACACCCTTCATCACTTAATCCAAGTTATCTTAGTACTTGAACAATGTACTATTTTGCAAAAAAGAAAAAGATGATTTTTTAAAAAAAAATTCTGAAATGCTTTTTATTTCTTCCTCTAGGGTAACCCAGGACAAGACAGTAACATCAAAGGGCAAAAGGGCTCCAGAGGAGAACAAGGAAGACAAGTAACTGGATCTGTTTTGCATGAGTTGATTAATTCAAGCTTAGGCTTTCATAAAGTCTAAATTAATTATTTAGTAAAACATGTAATCCATCTGTAATTGATAAACTCCCTTAAGTTCACATGGAAAAGAGCCTTATGTCTGTAGTAGGTTATACTACTATGGGCAAAATTACTACGTTTCTGGCAGGTGATATATGGGCAAACTGGTAATAGCAATGCACGCTGCTATACCATTTTCTTCTTGAATGGATACATACCCAATAGTGTTAATATGCAGAGTCTAGTATCACGCTTTTGTTCTGCTGTTTTAATAGTGCTTGTGGTTTTGATGCTGATGCCTTTATAAATCATTTGCTTTATGATCTTGGGGAACTGTTGTATTTCTAGGGTAGAACCGGACAGAAAGGGACACAAGGCAGTCCTAATTCCATAGGACGTGGGGTGAGTATTTTTATGGACATTTATTTTCCCTCCTTACCCTCTGATGATACCACAGAGGCATTCCGAATACTTGTTGCTGCAGAGTCAGTTGATCCAGGGCTAATACACTGGCACTACTGACATTTTGGGCCAGATAATTTGCTATGAGAGGCTATCCTGTGCGTTAGAGACTATTTTGCATCATCCCTGGCCTCTACCCACTAGATGCCAATAGCACCTTCTCCCCCAGTTGTGACATCCAAAAATGTCTGCAGATATTGCCAGATGTTGGTGGTGGATGGTGGGGAGTTGGGTGGGAGCAAAGTTGCTACTGTTTGAGAATCACTGGGACACAATTTGCTTGCCCCTTTCTCCCTCCCGGAAGCCTTTGAATGTCTTTGAGGAGAGTCAATGAAAGCCCTCCTCCAGTAGCTTAGCATCTCTGAGCTCATATAAGAATATTATGAACTGGGTAAATGCTCTTCATATA